ATGACCTGTTTGGTGTTTCGAGCCAAACACTTCAGAGACATATTTGTATATATCTGAGACCTATAATAAAGTAATGAAAAACAGTTTAGTAGGGGACCTTTAAATATCGGTCTTTGTTGCAGATGCCACAGATGAATCATATGAATCATATGAACCAGATGCCACAGATGAATCATATGAACCAGATGAACCACATGAACCAGATGGCTCCCGTCCACTACAGCATGCGCTCTAACACTTTAGGAGGGCCCAATAAAAAGGACTACATTGAGGAGTTGACCAAACAGATGGACGTCTGCCAGAAGGTAGAACTTATACTCGTTATTATGGGTTACAATCACACTAATAATGAGTTTTGTTACAGCAAGTATAAGAACACTTCTCTTTGTCCTCTCCAGCGTAACCAGTTCCTGGAGGCAGAGGGCGTGGCGATGGAGAAGGAGAGGAACCAGATAAGGTCAGACATGATGTTTTTTTCTTGTCATGTCAATACCAAATAATATCACCAAAAGAGAATATTTTGTATAGTCAGCTTGAAAGTGCATATTAAAATACTTTTAAAGTACAATTAAAGATAACATTTAAATATACATATGACAGGTAGAGCCTATTTTACTTTTTAAAATGTTCGCACTCTTCACTAGAGTAGATTTTCCCATGCTACCTTTCCTAATTTTGCTCTATTTTGGTCTGATTCTCATTCTGATTAAACTCTTTAAAGCAGGGGTGTCAAACTCAAGGCCCGGGGGCCAAATCCGGCCCGCGACTTTATTTTATGTGGCCCGCAAGAAATTGCGTCAGGCCGAAGCATGCCCCTTACTGTAGCTGTGATATAATGAGCATATACCACGGCCTGTCGTGAGCTATTGCTTAATTATTTTATATATTTATATCGTCTTAAAGTTACAACCGGCCCTTTGAGTGCAAACATAATTCTAATGTGACCCGCGATGAAATTGAGTTTGACACCCCTGCTTTAAAGAGTAACTTAACTCTAAGGTTACCCTTGCTGAAATTATGTAAAGTGGGTATGATGATGAGTTCAATATAACATGTTATGGTGGGTGTGAGATTAGGCTAAATTTAAGCTATTTGGATGTGTAACAACAACACAGGATGTCACAGTGTACCGAACACACTTCTTCTTACAAATTATGGACCGATCTTCATTCTCAATTTTGTCATAGACGATCTTGTAACCTCAAAACTATTTTCTGTTACTACTCTTGTGGTTCTTTGGCTTCCTGCCTCTATGATATTGAGTGTTAACCTAAAGTTTGACACATTTCAAACCCCTGTGAAGGTATGAGATGCGCGGCCTGCTGGTGAACAACGAGGACCTGCTGAGGACCAACACCCAGCTGACCAATGAGATGAAGAGGATGAGAGAGCAGATGATAGAGATGGAAAGAGAGCACCAATCCCTGGGCGAGAGATTCAGGGAGATGGAGGTGTGAGGAAAAAGAAAAAAGGGAATGGTACTGTATTATCCAAAGGTTTGCACATCTGACTCTTTTTCCCTCGCCCTGTACAGATTGAGGTGAAGCAGGCCCGGGACGTGATGGTGGAGGCCAATACTCAGGAGTACGCCTTCAATTTCCTCCAGCAGACCCTCAAAAACAAGATCCAGGACGCTGAGGTACACAGCAGCAACTAACATTAAAAAGATGTCCCTCTTCTAACACATTTCTACAGCAACTGAAGTGTGTGGCACTTGTCATTAGGACAGATAATTCACATTTAGTGCCATTTGGAAGACAACGTACAGTAGTGAATATCGGGAGACAAATACTTCTCTGACACCTTTTTAAATTAGCTTTAAATTACACATGTTTTCACTTTAACAGATTACTTTCAATGTAGCTAACTAGCTAGCTAGCTATGTAGCGGTAAAAAAGTGTTTGGCTTTTTTGACGCCAGTAGCAATGGCGTGCCACAAGTCGCCAGAGATAGCTAAATGAATTGTATTGTAATGTAATTTATTTGCTTAGTAGGCCTACTAGGGATGCCAGTGATTATTCGAATATTCGTTACAGTCTCCATAATCGAATATTATTTTTAAAAATCGATTTTATTTATATATATTTTTATTATCATTTATGTATTTTTTTTTTTTTTGGGCTTCATTTCAACCAAAATATAGGTCGGTCGGTCGAATAATCGATTATTATTCGCCAGGGCTGCCGAATAATCGATTTTGATCATGGTCAGTTTCTGGCAACCCTACTTAGTACCATTTAGTTTTATGTGAAAACGCTAAGTGAACTACATGTCTCGTCTAGCAGAATAAACATTACCCACAATAGCTAGCTAGCTAACTCATGATAGCAATATTTCACAAACAAATGATCATCTAAGTACATTGTGAGAGTACCAAACGACAATGCTCTGTGTGTTGTGTTCAGGAAAACCTGGAGAAGCAGACGCAGCACGCCCAGTCTCTGTCTGATAAGTTGTGGGTGACAGAGAGACGACTGGAGGAGCTGGAGGTGGACAAAGAGACCAGAGACAAGAGGACAACCGAACTCAACAGCAACCTCTTCAGGATGGAGACAGAGGTACAGAGACACTTTGCCCCCACCATTAGAGGAAACTCGACTACAAACTGAATATTTGAATAGAAGACTTGCTCTGCTCCGAATACAAACGTAGAGACATTTCAATAAATGTCAATGAACTAATAGGAGATGTTTAAAAGAGACTTGGTTAGGTGAATACTACCTCTGTTTACCAGAGAGAAAGACACAATATCATTCCTAAATATCACATCACTCCTCTCCTATAGAGAGGATTTTCCTAAGTGTTTATTTAGAGTTGATCTGGTAAAGCCATGTAAGCACTGATGTGTGTATGTACCTTAACGTGTATGTGTGTGTGTGTGTTCCCAGCTGGCGGAGGCCCTGCTGGTGTCCACGCAGGCTTCAGTCGAGCTGAGCCTCCATCAGAAGCTGCGTGTGGACGAGCAGCAGAGGGTGGACGAGCTGGAGGAGGAGCTGCTGGAGAAGGAGCAGGAGCATCAGAGACTGCAGAGCCTCGTGGGCCGCCTGCAGGGAGAGGTGAGCAAACACTGATCAATACAACCATGGTTTTACACCAACTTAACCGTCATTTCTGATTCACGGAGTGTGTTATATAAATATCACTCGTCACCGGCTTGAGCTTCAACATCAGGATCCATGTATCTGTGATCCTCTCCAGAATGGAAGTAGTCATCACATACAGAGC